CCAGTCGCTCCGCCTGGTGTTCACCCCGTGTCTGTGCCGCCCCGGGGCTAGGTGCAGGCCCGGTGGGGTTTGGTGCCTACCCTCCCTCCCTCCTTCTCTGGCGCCATGGCCATGAGGGAGCTGGTGGAACCGGAGTGCGGGGGCTCCAACCCCCTCATGAAGCTGGCCGGCCACTTCACCCAGGACAAAGCCTTGCGGCAGGAAGGACTTCAGTGCCCGCTGACCTGGCCCCCTGGGGCGTCCGGAGCTGCAGCCGTGAGTGTTGCCGGTGGTTGCTGAGCTGGAGCTCGATGTGGGGCCTGCCCGCAACTGAGTCAGTCATATCATCATGGGATAGGGGTGTGCTGACTGAAGGGGGTGTGGGGTGAGCAGTATGAGGGGACTGTTGGTACAGATAGGTGCAGTGTTGCTTTTTTTCTGGGGAATTAAGCCACGGGGTCACCCGACTTGTGCAGGGTTGTGGGGTGAGGGCCTGTTTGTGGAAGCTGCATTTATGGGCACTCAGAAGATACTGGTGGCTATGGTGAGCTGTATGCCTTACTGTCACAGACCCTATCCCAGAAAGTGGTGGGAGGGGGGTTGGACAGTATCACTTAAGGTATTCCTGCTCCTTTGGCTTCCACATAACCAGGCAGATTGTGCAAGGAAATGCTGAGAGCCTACACTCAAGGAAGAGGAAGATGTAAACTAGTTGGGTCACAGGGTGTATGTGGAGAGGGGTATGGGGTCAGAGCTGTTGGGATAATTGCCCACTGTTCCCTGTAGGTATCCAAACCACTGGGAGTGGCCACCGAAGATGAGGTAAGAACAGACTGATGCATCTCCTTACTGCTTTTCTCATCAACACTGTTTGCTATTTTTCCTCTTACATGATAGTAATCTTTTTTTTCTGAAAAGCCCATTTCTTTCTGTCATGCTCTATGGCTCTGCCTGTTCATTTTCTATGCTGTGATTGTAATGCATCTGTCTTTGGCAGCTGGTTGGAGAGTTCCTGCAAGAGCAGAATGCCCCTTTACTGTCCCGTGCACCCCAGACCTTTAAAATGGATGACCTGTTGGCTGAGATGCAAGAGATTGAGCAGTCAAGTTTCCGGCAGGCCCCTCAGCGAGGTAAGGGGAGCTAGAGTAGGTGGAGAACTGGAAAAGATCTTGTGTTACGGTTAAGCTCCTAGCAGAGTGGTTCCCATTTAGTCAGTGCTTGTGAGATTGTATCTGGGATGTTGTTTCCAGATTTGGGCTTCCTAGTACACTGACGTACTGGAACAAGTTCAGTGGAGATCAGTAAAGGGTTTGGGGACTGGAATACATGGCCTAAGAGGAAAGGCTGAAGGAACTGGGTTTGTACAGCGTGGGGAAGAGGAGTCTAAGGGGCAGGGGAGTAGGAGGCTGGAGCATCTAGTTGCTGTCTTCAGCAGCCATGCCAGGATCTTCACAGTGATACACAGCAAAAGGACAAGGGGCAATGGACACAACTTGTGGAAAGCAGAACTCACTAGATGTAAAGAAACATTTCTGCCCTTGGAGGGTGGTTCAGTACTGGAACAGGTGCTTAGGGAGGCTGGGGGATTGCCAGTCTTGGATGAGTTCAGAAGTTACCTGATGAATGCCTGAGCAATCTGATTTCTAGCTTTAGTCTTAACCTGCTACGAGAACACTAGCAACCTCCAGTGATTCCTTCCAGGTGGAATCTTGCTGTGATTTTATTCTAACAAAGAGAAAGGGAGAGATCAGACATGATGAGGGCTAGCCTGGAACACTTAAATGATGTCTTTGAGTCTTTCAATCCTTACTTCTGTTTTTCTCTTCTCGTAGCTCCAGGTGTGGCAGCCCTGGCACTGTCTGAAAACTGGACCCAGGAATTCTTGGCTGCAGCAGATAGTGCTGGTGATGTCCTTTCAGATTACAATGAGGCTGACTGGTCACAGGAGTTCATTGCTGAAGTGACAGGTGAAGGGTCCCTTTTGGAGTTACTGTCAAGATGTTGCCCAGTCACATGCCTGTGTGTAGTGGAAAGTTACTGAATATGAAATTGGAGTAATGCTTTGGGCATTTACTGTAGCAGTTTTAACGGGTTGGGGGGAAGCTGCTTTGCGGTGGCTTAACCAAATTGTGAACAATGTGGTGTGGAAAATTTTGTTCAGGTGTAAAGGTCTTCTGTTTTTAGCTTAAGTTACCTGAAGAACTTAGGAGAACCAGACTATTCAAACTGCTTTTATAAAAATAATATGATTCAACTGATGCATATTCTGGAGATGTTCTGGTACTGCTTCTTGCTTACATATTTTCTAATTCCCTCTCTTAAGACTAAATTTGCCTTTGTTACAAATGCTTTGGCCAAATACTTTTTGTCAGTTTCATGGAGGTAGAGGGATGTTGCACCTTGGAAATATGCAAAGTGAACGTTTCTGGACCAAAGGTTAAGCTTTCTGTTTCAAGCAAGCCAGTAGTTTATCTGAAAAACCATCCTGCATTGTGTATAGAGCTGGGACTGGAATAGGATACTGTTACCATCCATGACCTAATCTGGAAGTTATGAGTAAGATTTAAATAGATGCTAGTCTCTTCTCCAGGAGTGGCCCCTGCAGAGAGCCAGGTAGTCCCATTCTTTGACCTTCACTCTTTATACTTCTGGGAATATAAATCAGCATTTACAAAGGTCTTTGAGAAAGTTCTGATTAAGTGCTTTGTAGGTTGTGCTTTTGACAGAGATTTGTAATGCATTGCTAATTTTCTTGACCTGTATAGTATTCCACATGGAGCAGACGAGTAAGTTGTGAAATTAAAGCAGAAAATCATAAGGTTATTTGCGCCACAACGACATCTGTATTAATACACAGTCTGAACCGAAGGGCTTGATTTTTAGATCAGAATAAACAAAGTTAGAAGAAACAAGCATAAAGAATCTTTCTTTGAAGAGGTCTTCTCTGTATGTTAGCTAACAGTGTGTAAAGTGGAGAGAGTAAAATCTGAAGTTAAGATGAGCTATGGTCTGCTTGCCTTACTCTTCTCCCTGTTCTTCCTGATGTCCTATGCAGATCCGCTGTCTGTGTCTCCTGCCAAGTGGGCAGAAGAATACCTAGAGCAGTCGGAGGAGAAATTGTGGCTTGGGGAATCGGAAGACCAGTCTTTGGTGGATAAATGGTAAGTCTGTCTTCTCAAGACTAGTTACTGCTGCTAGGCACTTGGGTGGGTGAAGTTTGGATAGGTGATGGAAATCTGCTATGGCCTGAATGCTTTTGCGTCATTTAACCTAGATTGATGTTCTCAGGCCTTTGGTTTTAGCGAAAGGAGGAAACAGTGCTTGGAGACTAGAGTTTTTAAGAGATCCTAGCTTTTCTGTTTTCTGGTTCCAGGAAGATACTGTGATCATGTAGGCCAAGTGAATCTCATGCCTAATGCAGAGCTCCTTCAGAAAATCCTGATCAGGCAGAACTTTTTTTCCACAACAGATGCTTTTTTAGATTTAGAGATCTCAAGTACTAGACTCTACTATTTGTAAACTTTCATCACTTTATTCTCCCTATCTGACAAACCACATCTGGCCTTTCCTCTGCATATTTCTAGATTCAGCCTTCCAGACATTATTTTCATGTGTTTTTGTGTGGTAGATTAAAGAACAGTCTACTACTACGGATCTTCTCTGTGTAGGTACCTGTTGACTACCGTCAAGTTTTTCAATTAAAGAAGTGAAACACAAGCAAGCAATTTTGGGTTCTTAGATCTTGCCCTAAAAGAAATTTTGCGTATTTTGGTTCTTCCACCTGGCTCTTGCCTTTTCTGATACCTTTCTGCAAACATGGACGTTCCTGAGTATTGTCGCCAATTCCAAAGACTTCACCAAGACTGAATGTGGTGGTAACACCTGGAACTGGCCCTATCCTGCTGTAAGCCAGACAACATATTGAGTTGTGTGCTTGTTATGAGCCCTCAATCCTCTGCAGAGTTGATGCTTTTCCAAGACACTGCTCCTCTTCCATGAGCATGACCTACTTTCTTTGTTCCTAGATGTATGACCTTGTTTTTGGTAGTGCTAAAACTTGCAATGTGTGATAGCGTGTGGGCTTGCCAAGGAGTCCAGACTGTTCTGCAGAACTGTGCTGTCACTGTAATTGTTTAAATTCTGCTGCTGGTTGTGACAGTCACTCGCACAGTTAGCCTACTAGTAATTTTGAATTTTTACAGATGGATAAATGTACTGAATTACTTAGGAGAACCCCAGAGTCTTTGAGGAAGGGTTGCATCCCTCAGTACTGTTGTCTGGCCTGTAGTGTAGACTGTTGTTAGTGAAAGAGT